CTTGCCTATTGAGATATCTGCTCCTCTCTTTTTTCTTCCCTCTCTTTCCATCATGCCACCACAACACGCTCCCTGATGATTAGTTTAATTAATTGCCTGACACCTATGACACCCTGAAGAATAAACAAATCATATGGGCTGGATTTCCATCACACTCTAGGCCAGTGTTTCTCAAACGTGGCAACTTGAAATGTGTGGACTTCAACTCCCAGGATTCCCCAGCCAGCATGATTCAGGACCAAGCTACTCTCCAACTTCAGTCCTAATCCAGCTTAGCCCTGCCACGTGTGGGCGAGTTTATAGGAGCGGGCAGCTATAATAATAATGTGTGGACAAATATAGTCACCCCAAATGGTGAGCATTACCTTGAGAAAGCTGTCATTAAAAGAAGCTTTGGATTTGAAAATCCAGAAGGTGTTGAAAGGAGGACTGGAGATCCAATTCAACCATGGAAACTGTCTCTCCCTGGTTATATCTACTGTTTTGTTATATTCAGCAGGAGATGTGTGCTTTGGGTCCCGTCTGTCAAGGACTGTCATCTGGCAGGACCCAGATGCCCTTTTTGTCATGGCATCTACTCTCTGGAACATTAGTCCCCTGGAGATCAGATTTGCCCAGACCCTGCTGGCCTTCCACAAGGCCTTGAAGACCTGGTTTGCTTGTTGAGCTTGGGGCCTGGAGATGTGGGGGAGCCTGTTGTATGGTTATATTAATTGGTGTTGTTGGCTTCCACTCCCAAGTTGCTATTTATGTTATTTATAGTTGTGTTATATTGTTTTTATTATGTTTTAAGCCACCCAAAGTTATGCAGTTGAGATGGGTGACCATATACATTCAACAAACAAACAGACAAACTCATTGGATGGCTTTGGGTTGCTCGGTCTCGGCACAACCTAGTTTATAGGATTGTTTTTGTATGGATCAAATAAAAGGAGATCTGTAAGTAAGTTGCCTTGAACTCCTGGAGAAAAGGCAGGAGGGAGGGATAAAATCAATTGTAATGAATAAATTATGTATTTGTATGTTTTCCAAAATCCACTGCGCACAAAAGTAGGCACTGAAAAAAACGCTTCTAAGACCGTTGATTTGGATTGTGCCAAGTTACAAACGAAAATAACTAAAGTCTGTAGGACAAAGGTGAGCATCCTTCAGCTTCAGAGCTATATGTGGCTCCAAAATTCCTTTTTTCAGCCCTGGGTGCCTCCTCTGACTACTGTACAACTGCCGAAAACTCAGAACAGATTAGGGGGAATTTCTGCTTATCTATCTCTGAACTGCTTTGGCCACTAGATGGCAGCAAGAGATTTGAGAAGAATCTAGAGCTCCTGGGGATACTAAAAAAGAAAAAAACTGTTTACTGGAGATCATGGGTTGGTCCTTGATTTTCGATTAAGACAGTCACTTAAAAAATGAATTTAGATTCCATAAAATCAAGGGCAACTTTGCTCCTTGAAGAGAATTGAGAATTGTCTCAGCTGGACCTAGGAATCAGAGAAGTCATTTGAATATCTTATGGGGTTTTTTTAGGGCAGAATAGCATTTCAAAGTTCATCTCCAAAAGGTGCTTCAGGACATGAGCACAGCACCTCAAAGTCTCTGCAGATTTTCCCAGGGTTGCACGGCAGACATGGAGGCAGATGAACAATCTAGGAAAAGACATGGCTATTTTAATGTTGCAAAATGTTGCAGACAGGTGTTGCATTCATGTTGTGGCAAATCCCTATTTCTGGAGATTGAATCTGAAGTGCTGCACTTCAAAAGGAATCAAAAAGGAAAAAAATCAAAAGGAAAAAAAAATCAGGGAAGGGGGAGAAAATCTAGTAATAATAAAATAAGAACAGAACCAAACTAGAAATGTTCAGTTTTAGTCCATTTCCAATACTACCAATTCATTTTTTTAATTAACACTGTTTAGGTTCAATAATTAACCTGCTTTGATATTGGAGTGGCCCTTCTGAAGATGTTTTCTCATCAGAGGCTTATTATTAATCAGGCAGGAGGGAGGGGGCTTCTCCTGCATAATGCATTCCTTCCAGGTTGTGGAATTCAGTCCCTTGGGGGCTGTTAAGCCTCCTTTCCACCTTTAGAAGAAAGCCAAGAGATCTCTTTCATCAGCCCTTTGAAAAACAATGGTTTTATTTATGTTTTAATCTACCTTTTCATATCTCTCAGTCTCTCTCTCTCTGCCTGCATGATGGCCAAATTCTGTGTAGCCAAAAAAACTGCATATAGTTTACCTATATGTAGGTTTTTGTAAATTTGCTGATAATTTGTTTAAATAAACATTCTTCTACCTTGTATATTTTACTCTGTATTTATATTAATTTTTGTATGCATCTGTATTTTGATTTTAAGCCCCCTTAATTTGCATATGCATTTAATAAATTAATGAAGGCTAAATCTCTATTAAGACCATATTTGATATGCAATTAAAAGCAAGAGAAATACATTGCCTGGAAATAGAGGGTCATCAGTGCTAGTGAATGTGAGGAACAAACTAGGGAGCAAACCCCACATTCTCTCACACTGATGATGTTACCTAGTTGGGTAATAAAACTTCTGCAAGCAAGCAACCAAGCTCAGAGAGCACCAAGGGCTTCATAACCCTACAGTCATGATCCCAAGGTGGGCTCAATCAGCAACCTGGCCCAGAACCTGGCGAAAGAGTTGGCCTTTAATGCCTTACAAAATGTTGATAATTATCATTCTGATCATTTCAATTTATTCAAGAATGAAATGAATGTTTGCAATGTTCAGGTTGTGGATAGCCTAGAGGCCGTAAGTTATGTCCTTAGTGAATTGAAAGGAAAAGGCTCTATTGTTATGCATTACTAGGCTTGCTTTTAACAGAATCAATTTAGGATCCTTTACCTTTTGAAATCCTTGGAATTAAATTTTCTGTTATTGAAATTTGGTACTCCAGTTTCATGATGCTGATGAAATTTCCAGAAGCGTACCTGAAGGTACATGGCAGTTAAGATTCCATCTTGAAATATAACCTTGTTAAAATAAAGGCATGGAGAGACAATCTAATCCAGATTGGGTTTCTGGTCTAGAGTCCAGAAATAGTCTAGCCTAATTTGATATCTGGATCCAAAGTCAGATTCAGGAAAATAGAGCTCTTATGAGAAGAACACGCAAGTAGATAGATAGATAGATAGATAGATAGATAGATAGAAAGATAGATAGATAATAGAGAAATGATAGATAACTTTTTGGCAGAAAAGCTAGATGTTTAGAAGGGTGGTGTATTCCTTTACAATCTTATTTCAGAGCGCCAATAACTTTGAACTTTGAACTGTTATTGTTTTCAGCAATAACAGCCACTGTTGTGGGAAACTGCAGACTGTTTTGTGAAACTGGGAAGAGTTTTTTCTAAGAAATAATGCTCCTTTCTTAATGTTGTAGACTTGATGGTTGGGGGTTGATTTGGAAGTATATGGAGTAGCTCACTGGTCTTTTCCATAAAATAAATCAGCCCTTGAAACAGGTCAACTGGCTAATGCAGTTGACAAAATATGACATACAGTAATTATTTAGGACAAAAGACGGGGTGACAATGAGACGAAGCAAATGGTACAAGTAAGATATTGTCTTGGTCCTCAAGATTTCCCTCCCCTCCCTGGGAGAACTTTGTAAAGAAAACATGGAATGTTGGAATCTTCCGATTCAATCGTGGCGCCTGTATTTAGCAGAGCATACATATGTGGATAGAATTAAACTCATCAAGAGTATCTAGAAACAGATACTAAAAGTCCATAAAATAAAATGAAATGTATAAAGGAAGTTACGTGCTGGAGTGGGAAATCAGTATCCTTTTTGTCCTCAGGGTGGGGGGAAGTAGAGAAAGAAAGCTTTTCTAGTAGGAAGTGGAAGAGGAGCATCTAAGACTATCAATCTTCTAGTCAAGGGGGAAAAAAGCAAGAAAAACAGGAACAAAGAAGGTGCTGTTTACTTGCTCTCTCCACTTCTGATGACCCAAGTGGTCAGTAGAATAAAAAGGTTGAAAGCGATGAAGCTTTTGTAGCTCGTCTCCAACATCCGTGATTAGAAAGATCAGTGGTGGTGTGATTACAAAAGTGTTTTGTTCGGCACTTAATCCAGAGTTCCCATTCTTTCCCTTCCCTGCTATGGTTTCAAGAAAACAATGAAATGTGCTTGTGTCTGTGTGCTGTTGTCAAAGTATCATTATTCACAGCATGTGAAAATCCAGCAAAAGAGGTTGGGAACTGAATTTTACAGAGGCCCAGACATGGAATAGGAATTGATTCCAACTTGTTCAACTTGGATAAAAGAAAATCTGCCCCAAATCCTGGCTTAACAAAAGGTTTACTGGTTCCCTTCTTCCTCTCACCCATTTTTTTTTTTTGTTCTTTCAACCTAATATTTACTTATTTATTAAATCCTTTTAAAACTATGTTCATTACAGATGTCAGGACAGTATGTCAGGGCATAACACAATAAAAGTGCTGAAACTAAATAATGATCATCATCAGCAAACGGGGAAAGCACATAAAATCAATTGGTAATGCTTTTGTGAACAAAAATATTCCAGCGAGTGCTGAAAATAATTGCAAAGTTGGCACTGCTTTTATTTATCTGTGTTATTCTAACACTAACCCTTTTCAATACTTGGTGGTAAACATTAGAAGAAAGAAAGAGGGAAAGAGTTCCCAAGGTTGTTGCTGCTAAAATTTGGTGACAAGCGATAACGCCATCAATTTTCTGCAGCAGAAAATAGATTCGAGGGCCAAACAAGATTTTGAGCATCCAGGGCTCATAGAAAATTGGTGCTTAAATATTTTGGGAACTACTTTTATCTCAGAAGGCAGTCCTGCAGTGGCCATAGAGAACTCAAAGAAAATCCTGTAACTCGGGGAGAACATTCTTTTGCTCAGCAACCCTTCTGAATCTATTTACTTATATAAAAAACACGTTTCTTAAACACACATAGAGTCACACTTCCCTCAAGTAAGTTGCTTTGAAAACACAAGTAGAATCATTCATTTAGCCTTTATTATTCATTTCACAATTCTTCCTTCAAAACTGCATGAATTCTTGTGATTTTGCATTGGTAAAATCATGGAATCATAGAGTTGGAAGGCGCCCTTGAGGCTATCCAGTCCAACCTCTAGCTCAGTGCAAAGATCAGTAGAGAATCTCAGACAGGCAGACAGACAGACAGCTATTCAGCCTCTTCTTAAAGGCCTCCGGTGATGGAGAACTCATGATAAATGGGTTTCAATACAAAATAGGTCCGTTCCATTTTTTCCCATATTAATTCGTCTTCCTTCCTGGATGAACGAAATAGGAACAAAAAGGAAGTAAGAAAACGCTCACACAAATCATCTCAGATACAGAACTCAATGGGAATGAAGGTCTTACAGAAATTGGCTTCCCCTAACACATGAACAAACCAATCCTGCTTGGATTAGCCAAGTGATGTCAGCCTCTTGCAGGCATCCATCCAAGCCTTCCAGCCTATGACCATGACCCTTGCTCTGGGCAAGGATCAGTATCCTATAGAAGCCAGGGCACAAACAAGCAATTTTATACACAAAGGGTTTTTTTCTTTACTTTCATAGGCAAGCAAGCAGGGCAGGGTTGCAGCTCCAAGTATTGTCATCTGAAAGCAATTGTGGACATTTTAGAATGCAACTAAAAAAGTGGGTGCATGAACATGCTGTGCTGCTAACTCAGTTGTCTTTTTTTCTTGGCTAGTTCTTCAGTCAGGCCCTAGTCAGACTTTTTCAAATTAGGGTTTTACTGAAAAAAAGAATACATGTGCACAGGTTCTTCCTTACTCATGTTTCATCCCTGCTCCTGCAGCTTTAGTAAAACCTCTGTTTAACAGGCTTTGGACCTAATGGACAGATTTGCCTGGCAGATATCTTGTGACAATGGACAGTTTTTGTAAAAAATAGACTTCATCTCCATTTAACTGATTTGTGTCCATTAAATGACCATTTGCCATTTGCCTTTGACTCTGTCTGCTGCTACTATTTTTTAGTTAAGCTGAATCTGCTGTAAGTCAACACAATAACTTTACTCTAGGAGAGGTCATAGGAGCATTTTTTGGGGGGGATCGCTTTCTTTAAGGCTCTTGCATTGGGTCTGGCTCAGCATTGCATTTTTCCACATAGGCATAGCTTATTGTTCCTGATGGTTCTTATTTTAAAACAAAATTGTTACAAAGCTCAGATATCCAGACTTGGGCAGAACAACATAAATGATGTAATTCTGCATATCATGTAACTTGATGCAAAAGATGTACATTTGGATTTAATGGTCATTCAGATTTAATGGACAACTCTCCCCTCTAATGCAGCATGAAATCAAGGTTCATTAAAGCTGTATAAAGCATTTGAAAAGGGCATTTTGCAAAGTTGTTAGTGCACCCAAAGCACCTTGAAGTATTAAGGAGGGGTGGATCTTTTAAGCTAACATGGTTTCTTTGAAGGCTCTTTCTGGTAGTCTATCATACACAGACAATTCTTTCACTAGGACTTCTACTGAAGCTAACATGCAGATAGCCTGCAGCCTCTGAGATTAATGTGGCCCTGATTCTATGTTATATTTGGGGCTACCTGATAATTACTTTTTTTTTTTTTTGGCAGTCTTAGTTTTAGAACAACGTTGGCAACTTTAAGATGTGTGGACTCCAACTCCCAGAATGTCTGTGGACTTCAACTCCACAAGATGCGTGTACTTCAACTCCCAGCATTTCTGGCTGGGGAATTCTGGAAACTGAAGTCCATGCAACTTATAGTTGTCAAGGTTGAGAAACACTGTTTTAGAAGAGTAATGAAAACATTCCCAATCCATTAAGCCTTTGGAAGGGAGACCTCATTGTTTAAAAAATAAACACAGTTTCTTAAACCACTTGATATATTTACTACATGTGATGCTGTTACTTACAAGTATCATTTCAATGGAAATAATTTTATATTGATTATATTGTTTCTGACCGTGCTTTAGATCAGTTTTCACATCTGGCCAATATCTTTTCATGAAATACAGAGTTCAGTCCAAAATATGATATACTATAGTATTTCCATAGCATCAGGATGACTGATAATATTCTAGTGCCACTAAATCATCCGTGTTAGTGCTATGATGGTTAAAATTATAACTCCTAATTATTTTTTTCCTGTCGAATAACACATTTCATACATTTTTCTGACATGATTTATTGCTGCCTCAGTGGAAATATCTCCAAAGAATGAGCTGAATCTGTGACCTGATTCTGAAATACACTACTAGTTTTATATGCTGTGAATAAAACCATTTTTGATTTTTTTTTGTTTTGTTTTCACTATTCATTGAACTTTTAAGAAGAAGAGTCACATTAGCTGTGGATCTCTGCAGCAGAATTCAAAATTTGGGAAATATTTTTCTCAGTGAAGTTACCATATAAACTCTGAATTCCTCGCCGATCATCATCTGGAAGACGAAAATTGTTTGGATTCACATAGGAGTAGGTAGGAAACATCAAGGCACCACGGACATCAGAGTGAGCTAGTCCCAGGGAATGCCCAAATTCATGTGCAGCAACAAGGAATAGATTAATTTCTAAAACATAGAAGACAAGGTGAATGCATTTTAAGTATTGGTCTTACAGACTTCTGCATACACAGAAAGATGAATGTACAGGATATTCATACACACCTCTCTGTCATCTCCTAATGAAGCTAAGAGCAAGAACTCACAAGAATTCCACTTCTATTTTCCTCTGAAAACATGTTCAAATGCATTACTCCTCATCAATTTGAAAGGGAATCATTGAAGCAAATACAGACATTGAAATAAATACAGTTCACACCATCAGAGACTGCTAATATCAACTTCCACTATTTATAGATGAAGAATACAAATGTCATATCTGATCTTGGATCACATCAAAGAGGGTTTGTCGCTTATTTTAAGGCAGACCCTCCCAAATTTGGCATGGGATAGAAAATATAAGAAGGTAACATAAGAAGAAGCTGAATGGATCATGCCAAAGAAGAACCTGCTCCTTTTTTTACTGTTGCTCTCATAGGACATAAGAAACATCACACCTAGGAATCATTGACAGATTTAGTGCTGGTTTACACCTACCTGTAAACCATAGCTTTTAAATATGGTTTATTGAATAAAGCACAATTAGCTAATTTTTCACAACACACTAAACCATGAAACGTGATGTTCACACAACACATGAAGTCAAACCACATAGTGACTTAGAGTTATGTGTGAAACAATCTCACTCTCCATGAATTTGCTTTTCAGTGTTAAAGCAATCTAAGCTGGTCCTTGTATCTTGGCCAAGGGCAGCACCTATTCAACTTTAACTGGTCTTGAAAAGCTAAGCAAGATCAGTCATGGTAAGTAGTTAGATGGGGGACCACCCTGGGAATTCTAGGGCATTGGCTAGACTAGAAGTGGAAAAAATATTGGAAGAAGGCAACAATAAACAATAACATGTCAAGAAAACTGCATAAAGTTACAGGAGTTGTGCTGTAAGGAGTAAAGAAGAGTAAATAAAAATATATGCATGGTCATAGGCCAAATGTTCCTATAATATACATATAAGCATATTAAAATGGTAAAATATGTAGCTAGTAGACTTCCAATGTGAAAATGGTCAATCACATTTTATTTAAACCCTGAGTTTTCTTACAGCCATGAACTGAAGAAATTTTATGTTTTAAGCAACTGGTTGCTTTGACATTTGGAAGCACTGAACTCCATGAATTCATCATTTATAAAACAATGCAATATGGGTAGTCCTTGTTGAATGACCATTTGTTCAGCGACCGTTTGAAGTTCTGATGGTGCTGAACACAGGGAACTTGTGATAGCTCCTCATAATTGTGGCCATCACAGCATCCAGCTTCAGGCACTTGGCAACCAGCTTGCAATGACAATGTCGCAGTAACCTGTGGTCACATGATTCCCATTTGCAACCTTCATTGCTGGCTTCTAACAAGCAAAGTCAATGGAGAAGCTGGCAGGAACTCGCAAATGGTGATCATGTGACCTGACTGCAGGATGCTGCGACCGTGTGGGATTCATTTAATGACAACATCTGGGACTGCTGCAATTGCTGTCGTAACTTGGAACAGTCACGTGATGTCACATTTTACAACCATGTGCAATAGAGTTCTTGGTCCCAAATACTGTCAGTAAGCAAGGACTACCTGTGGGATATACTGTTTTTTATTCCCATGCAGCATTTGATGTGGCCAATGAAAGTGACGCAGGTGTATAAATCAGGTAGCAGAGATCTGGTGCACATATTTTGATAGCAAACCTTTATCGACTTCTGACCAGGCCTCATCCTCATCAAAGTGAGCATCACCACCTAGGCCTGGTCCAGGGGCAAAAGCATGTGCCAGAATTCCACCTCTTCCATCAAAAGGAGCATCACCATGATCTAAATGGAAAAGAATCAAAGTGCCATCAGCAATATCAGGGCCTGCATAGCTATTTAAGAAATCTGTACGATTCCTAGTAAGAACTGCTTGTTAACTCTCTCCTTAGGATTGAGGAGGCATTGCCAGAAAGACAAAAAAAGGAAATTAGAGAGAATGATTGTCCCCCACCTCCTTTTAACTCTGGTCCCACCCCTTGTTTTAGCCCCACCTACCACTGGCCCCAGTGATGACATCTGAAGGAATGTGGTCATCAGAAAAAAGTTTGCTCACGCTGACCAAGTCAGCTGCAGCAACTGCAAGATCTACAACTTGGAATTGTCTCATGGAGTGCTTTATCAGACTGGCACAATGTCACAATATCTTTCCAGCATGGGTCCACCTACCCAGGCTGATTAATTGGCCCTCCTGCATCTGGATAATGCTGAAAGGCTTCTTCTTTGCCTTGAAACTTGCCTGGAGCACTATGAATTCTCGCCTAATTGCTTGGTTTTGATTTTATCAGCTCACAGTTTATATCTGAGCTGTATCTTAACGGAATCACAACAGCTTTCAGAATAGTCTCCAAAGGGTTGAATAGGTTGTTACCGAATGACGTTAATGTTTCTTGAGAGGTTTTCCTCTTTTCTTTCCCCTTGCAGCTTTCATACCTCTAAAATTTATTCTGGATGTTCCAATGCCCAGAGCAAATGGGAGATTGTAGAAAAAAGATGGAATCTCATTGCATGTTCTACAGGCTAAATCTATTCTACTGGCCATAGATATTAAAAGTCTCAATATCTCAATCTTTAGACAAAACAGTCTTACTTGGAACAGTCTGACAAAATGTCCCAAGTTCCTTATGCTCTACATAAACACAGAGTTTCTCAACCTTGGCCACTTTAAGATGCGTGGACTTATCTCCCAGAATTCCCCAACCAGCATGGCTGGCTGGGGAATTCTGGGAGTTGAAGTCCACCCATCTTAAAGTTACTGAGGTTGAGAAATCCTGCTCCAACAGAACAAAAAGTCAGAACACCTGAAGTGCTCCATGATGAACAGCTGAGTAATTTTGCTATTAGAAAAAATGGGAACTTGAAACTACTGTAACTCTTGCTCCTTCAATTTTGTAACCAACAGCCACAAAACTAGATGGGTTGGTAGTCCATACTATCTTCTATCCAACCTATAAAAATTGACCAAGGAGATAATTTTTTTAAAAAATTGAAAACATTTAAAAAGTTCTGTTAGGTATCAAAGGATGTGACAATTGAATCATATTTTCCAAATTATCTATACAAATTGCTATGGAAACCTAGCAAAGTGCAATACGCAGCTTGATTCACTTTAGCACATACCATGGACAGTAGTGACAATCACATTTCCCTGGCTAATGGCTGAGACTTTGCTCACTTCGTAATGCAACTTGGCCTTGTGTATAATAGGCAGCCTTAAAGCTTAATAGCAACATAAGCATGCAGAATGCGCACACTGAAGTTCAGTAATAAAAAGAAGGATCAGTCTTTTACAGCCTGAAAATCTCAAGAGCATTTTAGCAACACTTGTATAATGTACAATACACACCTTTGCATTTGCCTAATGGCAACATACAACATGTACAAAATACAACCCACGAATTTTAACTTCCACAATGCAAAGTTTTTTTTTTTTTAAATGCAAGTACATTTATTTAGCAAGTAGCCAGACAGCTCTGAACAATCCTTATGACTTCACCCTTCAGAATTCCATATGCTACAGACATTTCTTTTTTTACCACCCAGGTGATTTAGGGATTGCAGCCTTACCCCAGCAACCATATCTATTTGTGCTTAAATTACTGCCACTTTCCCCTCACCCTAATCTTCATTTATACCCCCACCTCACCACTCCCCATCTTGTCTTGGCCAATAGCAGCAAGAAAGGAACCAACTCATTCTGGAAAAAAAAAGGTTGGGAAAAAAAATTAAAGCCAAGCCAATTACATCTTATCAAAAGAACAAGCTGATTTTCAAGACTCTTGAAATGTTCAAAGCAATGCTGTCTGAAATGGTCCCATTTTATCTTGTGTTTGGAACAAAACTAATGAACTTTGCTCTTGAAATATTTGGAAATGTTTGAGTTAGCAACTTTTGCACATCCTTATGCTTAACCAGTCTATGCAGGATTGAGTTTTAATCAAATAAAACAATGGACGACATTTCCATGTTATTCGAACAGTTAAGCTTAGCTAACGTCAGTTAATCCCTATTATAAAGGAAAGTTTATTTCTAGTTCTATTTATTTATTTTAAAATATATATTGCCCTTCAAAACACAATTTGTTCTCAAGAAACTGAAGAAATGTGTTAAAGATTACAATCTATTTCAATTTGTTTTACTTTCCATAAGGAATTGTGTTCAGCTTTGCAACAGTTTCCATTTTCTTTTTTAAAGTCTCCTCTAATGATTTCACCCCTTTCATGACTAAACCAACCCAATGGACCTGAATGTGTAGAAGCTGTCACCAGGTTTCACCACTGTTCTGGTGACATCTAAGTCACCATCAGATGGTCCTTACGTCAACATGGTGGAGACCACTTCTTCCAATGATCCAGTCTAGTAATGGAGAAGGAGGAACAATATAAGCAGAGTCAAGGACAGGACAGCTTTCCATGAGAATAACATGGGAAAGGTTGGGAATATTTTTCATAGCAAGTAAAATAACTACCAGATGATATTTTCTATGTGGTAGTGCATAAAGGAATTTAGAGCTGACCTTGGGGACAGGAAAAGAATGAGCAAGCTGTAAAAGGAGGAGTTGCAGAAAAGATTACATAGCCCAGAGGTAGAAGGAATCATGAGAAAGAAACTCTAAATAACCCTGTATTGATTTTGTTTAGTATAGGGTAGGACAGACAGAAACTTTGACAGGCTTTCAAGATTTTGTTATTCTACCTTCCTACAATAAAGACCAATCTAGGAATCCCTGTTGTGTCTGTTTCTTAAACCAGCCTACCACAAAGTAGTGACAACACCCATGCTTCAGCAGATGTGAGACATAAACAATAAATAAAAATTATTTTTTAAAAATAGACAAACTGAAGCAGGCTTACCACCATAAGCAAAAAGGATTTCAATATCAGCAGGTCTGGTGGTCCTTCTGAACTGTAGGGGGGTCACATCACTCCACACTTTCAGTGCGTTTGCTATGGCTTTGTCTACTTTGTGTTTAGGCATATCAGGGGTGTAGTTGTTAATCCTTTGAGCAAGGGAGGAAAACACAATACATGCAATTAGGAAATAGACTTTTTCTGTTTGCTTGCTTCTATCTCTCAGAAGTCAAACAGAAATATAACTTACCTGTACGTCAATATATTTTTATTCCATTTTGGTGCTCCTGGAAATTTCCTGAATTCCAAGAGATCTGGAACTCCACACCTGGGCTGTTCCATTACCTTGATTGTTTCAGTATCTATCTTCCCCGTTACAGTCAAATGGAAGAACCTCTGCATTACTCTGATCCGTTCTTCTAAGGTTTGCTTGATTGCTTTATCAATTTGTGGGAAAAAGCGATCAAGGTAAGCCTGCATAACCAAGAATGAGGAAAATCAGAATTTTTTATTGTATGTCTACCTTACTAAACTTCTCAAATACCTACATATGTGTATGTTTGCCCATCCATCCATTCTTCCATCCACTTTTAAACATTATTACTATTTTTGGCAGCTTAGGGCTGCGGTGTGTAGGGCAGAGACTTTATGGCATCACTGAAGTAGGCAGAGCCAGGCTTTCTTAAGTGAAGATCGGTGTTGGGGAGAATAATGATCTTGCTTGCTTGTTTGTTTGCTTGATAAATGAATACAATTTTATTATTCTCCCACTCCCCAACACACACTGAAACTTTTCAGAAAATGGCACCATTGTTGCTTGGTACATTGTTGTTCAAATGAGATGGCATCTCTTCAGACCAAAACAAAGAATTCAGTGCCACAGATTGTGGCTTGCCCAAATCTGTCAGTGAAGTTAGGCATTGATTTTGGGCAGGTTCATTTGAGAAAAGGTGTTCCTGGGTCCCAAGATCTTTAGGCTTTTAAAGGTGAGCAAGATGACTTCATATATTTGAGGGTTAAAAGAGGAGGAGGAGGAGGAGGAGGAGGAGGAGGAGGAGGAGGAGGAGAAGAAGGAGAAGAAGAAGAAGAAGAAGAA